AAGTCTCTGGTATGCTAGCATTTGATTTGATGATGATTCTTAATGATAAGACTCTTTTAATCACTGAAATATAAAAGTAAAAATTCGGTTTTTATTTCATTTATATGTTAATGTATATTCTGTCAGGAAGGAATTTGCACCCGTCAGTAAACACATACATTAGCTCCCCATATAAGGCCTGAAGAAGAGATTAGTTACAGTACATGTATGGCCATCCAGGTAAGAAGGAGCTTATTTACGACTCACATAAAGAGTGGGGATTAATAAGTGAGTTCAACTACTGCCTACAATCTGATCATATCGCCCACTCAATGGCCTGGTAAATGGCAACCATGACGACTGATTGTCGGCAAAAAGTAAAGCATTGATTCCGACACTTTAAGAACAAAGGATAGCAATGGTAAAAGACACAGTAATGGGTAGTCTCTCTAAAGATAAGGTGAAAACAACTTAATTTCCAGCCCAACATGTCTGAAATAAGCCTTTTTAGTAGGAAAGGTTTAAATATGCCAAGAATGCTGATTTCCAAATTTACGAACGCTAATTCATATACCCAAATTTCGTGCAAAACTTTGCGCTTCTATGAAACTTTTGTTTGGTATTCTCGGCTCTTAAACGAAGGCTTTCGCTATAATCACTCACCTGACACATGTCTTCATTGTCCAAAATGCATAGTGTTTCACAGGCCAGACGGCTGTAAAACCGGTTCGAATTGCCTCCGTAACCGCGATACCCGAACCAACGGCATATTCCGCTGTCCCGATCGAAGTACCACGAAGAAACCTCATCTGGCCCTTTTCCATGATCCAGAAGCTGACTGCAAGCCACATGGCGACTTGTAGTCTGGTTGCCGTGCAGCCAGTGCGTGACCGAACGAAGGACAGACCGCGGTGGTTCGTGCGGTTGTACAGGACTTGTGATAGCTACCTCTTCGCGCTGTCGACGAGCTGTCTCCTCAGCTTGTTGGTCCATTCTACGCAGCAACTCAGGATCAATCGGCACTTGCGTGTACATCCGGCAAGGACTCGTCACAGAAGACTCGAACGCTCCCGGCAGACAGGGCTCCAGCTCTCCGGGACCAGTCACTTTTGGCCAGATCTCGAAAGCCGAATGATTTGCTACTACTGTAGTGGTACTGGGGGGACTGCTGCTGCTAGTGACCCCAATAGGCATTGCATCTCGTTCACTCACCAAGCCAGCCTCCGTGTCTAAAGTCTGAGGCCTCGTAGTTTGGGCACGCTGGGAGTCCAGATCCGAGTTAGCTGATTCGCGAGGGGTGGATGTAGTCTGATCCTTTTCTCTTGGCATCACAGTCGGTTCGTCGACAACTCTAACAAATGGCGTGTTATCATAGTATCCACTTGTTTCGCTCACTGTCAGTGGTACAACTGCCTCAGTGGACGTGTTTTCGCTCTCTGGAATGATCAGATCTTCAGCCGTCTTTTCCCCTTTACCTTTTGACTCGAAGATGTCATGTTCTTGGTCTGTGTCAACGAGTAGATTGGTTTCACTCGTTTGTCTTTCAGTTTCCGCATGCTTATCAGGAATGTCTGGTACGACGGTATGATCTTCCTCTTTGGGGCTGAGAGTATATGTTTCCCTCCAACTCTCACTCGTCGACGTAGCCGAGCTGGCTGGCTGTGGGAGATTTTCTTTTGTTAAATCGAGCTCAGAATGAGGAGTGGAGTATGGTACCAAAGAGTCTGGGTCCTGTTCATCTAGACCTGTATTGTCGGTAAACGCGTCCTCATATTCATCCAGATCTTCCCGGAAGAGACGGTCAATATCTAGAAATTGGAATAGAATAATAATTCCTAGTTTAGTTCTTTAAAAGGAAATTCATAGTAAATTCATACCAGAGAAGCAGCATAAGGAAGCTCTACAACAAACACTTTTAAAGGGAATAATTTTCAAATGGGTTTGTATTGCCAGAAAATTATCTTCAAGCCTATAGGCCTAGTTCTCCCATTACATTTTTCATGGTATCTTAGTGCATGCCTTAGCTACAACGTAAGCTGATTACGCTTCGATGTAAGTGATATCTTAAAAAATAAATCAACCATGAAGATAGCCTTCAGTCCTTCCTAAACCATCCGCCAAATCAAGATGCAAAGATGGCAAAATCAAATGACCTATTCTCGTTAAATTGACCTCGCCTTAACTTTTCCTCTAAGTGTAAAGAATTTGCACTCGAAAAAAATCAAGAATCCCATGTTGCCATGTCACGTTCTACTATGAATTTACGTACTTTCATACTCCATCAATAAGCATAACTAATACTCATTATCGCATCACTACTGTGTAATATCATTAAAAAGTTAAGCGATAGATGATTGCTGATTAGATTTCATCAAATTAAAAGCAAGATGGATATTTATAAGGTTCTCCTATTTAGAATGATCCATAATGATGTTTATGATAATAGTAAAAACAAGAATAATAATTATTATTATTATAAAAGAATAGGTATTCTCCCTTATTTAAAATAACTTGGCAATGCAATTCAGAACACATCGAGGGGAAAAGTTATAATAACAACAGCCATTTATAGATGATAAATGTGATAAGAAGCTACTCTTCTTCGCTGGTATGTACGAGGCAAATGCTGTGGTCGGGCCCAAATATGAATGTAAGGTATGGGGAATAGTATCGGAAGAATCAAGCCATTACTTCAATTCAGGACGGTTACTAACACAATCAATCAATCCTCGTTATCTTGAAATCCTCAAAGCGATCGTTTATATGCTGCCAATAAAGTAAAATCCAGCTTTCGAGGATATTAGCCAATCCAATTAGACCATCAATTTGAAATTTAAGAAAGTTGATCAGTAATATAGAATCAGCCGAAAATATGTGCATATATGAAACAAATCTAAGTGAATTACGGAATGCCTGCTAATGTGAACCAATGCTGTCTTAAAGTTTGTAAAACGCAATTCATTGATGTGTTTACTTTTGAATGGCCCAAAGTTAGCCTACTTTTTTTGTTTTCGAGAATAAAGTTTGGACTTGGTAAGTCTACAAATTGCTCGTTTAGGAAGACATATTGACCCGAGAAAATTAAGTAAGTTTAAGAGGGATACCTATAGCAGAAAGGTCTAAATTCACTCCAGACTAGACCCAACTTCCACAGAAAATAGTAAAAAAAACAAAGGTTAATACTTTCGAGTAGGAAGCTACTGCTACGTTTTACACAATTATCAAGAATTGAGAATTAATTAAAGGGGAGCTATTATCTCTTGATCATTCGAGAGGGCTAGTCATTTGCAACCTTTGCTATAAATAGCTAAAAAAGAATACTCATCGCATTAATTATACCTTGTTTTCGTGAATTAGTAGTATTTTCGGGTCGATCGCAAATAACGTATCTTGTCTATTATCCTCTCCCACAGTAATCAGTAAGTTTCAGCAATCGAGCGTGGCACTGGTACATTCACAAAGGAATCATCATCAACGCCAGTAAACCTTAAAAGGTATAGCATCAAGCTACAATTTGCCAAGGGAACAAGTGTGACTCATTCCTAGACCAACTTTTAGGTAAATGGTTTCGGTATATCTACCTTCCTGATGCATTCCTCTATCCTCTATCCTAATATCTGAATTGATCTCCATCATGACCACAAATGTGTTTATTTTGAGCTAGTCCTTATTAAATGTGTCCAGCAGAGAGAAAGTCTGGGGTAGCTCCAAATTAAAAATTTATAAATGGTGTTAGAGAGAGGATGTGGTGGCAAATGTGTCAGTACAGGAGTAGGAGAGA